CGGGAGCCCCCCCCCGCCCCCTCCCCCCCCCTCCCGCCACCTCCTACCCCCTCCTACCCCCCCAGTCGTGATCGTTGGCTAAAGGTCAGGTTTTTCTCCTGTGTTTTTCACCCTCTGACAGTTCAGTCAGCCAGGCTCTGACAGGGAAGGACTGAGTGCTTAGGGGGATGGCGATTGCCTAGATTTTATTTTAGGGGCAAAGAAAAGAAGAGCCCCAGTCAGGTTTTAAGTTGTTCTGTTTTTGGCTCAAGGCCAGGGGGCCTGGGCGTTGAGTTCTGATGAATAAAGAGCATTTCTGGTTGTCTGTGACCTGGCTGTATCCGTTTCTGCCTTCTCACCCAGCCTGGGGAGGACATCCAGAGGGTCGGGAAGGAGAGCCGGTGCGGGTGGGGGTGGCTGCACTTGCCCCAGCACACGGGGAAGCGGGAGGTGGAGCAGGACAGGACCGGGACTCCTCTCTCAGTCTGCCTGCACGCAGTTCCTCCCCAGCCTCTGCTGTGACTCCAGATTCCATTTTCACTTGCTGGCCGAGGGTTCTCCTGCTCTGCAAGACCACATTCTTCTGGAATCTTCTTTCTGGTAAGTTTTTTTTTTTGGTAAGAGAGTTTTATTATTTATTTATTTATTTTGGAGAGGGTTTTGCTATAGGTCGCATGTGCTCAAAAGACAGAGACAAAAAGCGAGAAATCACCCCCCGGGGGGATGGCAATGCCACAGTCCCTCCTCCATTCTCCTCAGCATTTAAGCTGCTGGGTTCAGGACTTGAACCGTGGTCAACTACATGGGAGTCCAGCAACATGGTCGTTATGCCATCTGCTGGTCCCAGGTAAGAGAGATTTTTTTCTATAGAGTTCGTATACTCACTGGAGAGACAAAGAGACAGAAAGAGAGAAATCACCCCCTGGGGGGATGGCAATGCCACAGTCCCTCCTCCATTCTCCTCAGCATTTAAGCTGCTGGGTTCAGGACTTGAACCGTGGTCAACTATGTAGGAGTCCAGCAACGTAACCATTACTCCATCTGCTCGTCCCCTCTGGTCGTTCTTAAACTTCTGGCTCCCAGGTCCTACTGGAGAGGTGCTGAAAAGTATCCTCCTCACCCCAGAGAAATGCACGCACGTAAAAAGTGCTGTGCATAATATTGGGGTTTCTTTTATTCCATTGTTCCCCAAACATTTATCACGTCTCCTTTCTGCCAGGCACCGTTCTAGGCAATGGGGGCACAGGGCTGAGCAAAACAGACACAGTCCCTGCCCTCGGGGGCTACATCCTAGCGGGACGGGAACTGCCAATCAATCAGGCGATAGATGACACAACGTCGGTGGGCAGTCAGTTCTCGAAGGCAAACAGCAGGGTCCCCGCAAGATGGAGAGCGAGAGACTGTTTGATACAGGGTGGGCGAGTGGAGATGACTTTTTTTTATTTTTTATTTTTTGAGAGGTTTTTGCTATAGGGCGCATGTGTTCACCAGACAGACAGAGAGAGACAGAGAGACAGAAAGCGAGAAATCATCCCCCAAGGGGGACGGCCACGCTGCAATCCCCTCTCCTCCATTCTCTTCTTAGGATCTTGGGCACGCACGCACATGCGCCCGATGTGAGTTTAAGCCACCGGGTCTGGGACTCGGACCGCAGTCGACTACGTGGGAGTCCAGCGACATAGCCGTTACGCTAACTGCTGGTCCCTGGAGATGACTTTTGAGCAGAGTCCAGGTGAAATGAGGGAACCTGGAGGAGTCCGGGAAGGGCATTCCAGGCAGCGGGAGAGTGGGTTCAAAGGCGAATGGCGGGATCCAGAATTCAGTGTGTTTGTAGACACAGGAGGCCGGCTGAGGGAGAGAAAGGGTCACAGAGGTAGCCTGGTGGGTGAGGAGCTTAAGATGTCGCAGACCCTGGGGGGACTTTCACCTCTGAGTGTTCTGGGACTCTGAAATCCACCCTCAAGTGAGCACTAACTACGCAGAGAACCGAAGACTATGTGTTCACCAGACAGACAGAGAGAGACAGAGAGACAGAAAGCGAGAAATCATCCCCCAAGGGGGACGGCCACGCTGCAATCCCCTCTCCTCCATTCTCTTCTTAGGATCTTGGGCACGCACGCACATGCGCCCGATGTGAGTTTAAGCCACCGGGTCTGGGACTCGGACCGCAGTCGACTACGTGGGAGTCCAGCGACATAGCCGTTACGCTAACTGCTGGTCCCTGGAGATGACTTTTGAGCAGAGTCCAGGTGAAATGAGGGAACCTGGAGGAGTCCGGGAAGGGCATTCCAGGCAGCGGGAGAGTGGGTTCAAAGGCGAATGGCGGGATCCAGAATTCAGTGTGTTTGTAGACACAGGAGGCCGGCTGAGGGAGAGAAAGGGTCACAGAGGTAGCCTGGTGGGTGAGGAGCTTAAGATGTCGCAGACCCTGGGGGGACTTTCACCTCTGAGTGTTCTGGGACTCTGAAATCCACCCTCAAGTGAGCACTAACTACGCAGAGAACCGAAGACTAGCTAAGGACCTGTGTTCACAGGGTCCTTTCCACCAGGGCAGGTCTGTCCACAGCAGAGACTCCCACCACAGGGCAGAGGGCAGACAATATTACATCAGTAAACCACAACATTCCATGAGGATGGGGCCAGCAGGTGGCATGGTGGCTAAGACGCTGGGCACTCCCACATGGCTGACCACAGTTCTAGTCTCAGACCTGGTGGCTTGCTTTCTCACTTCTCTCTCTCTCTCTCTGTGTCTCTCTCTGGTCAAATTAACATAAAATGAATAAATAAATAAAATTAAGTAAAAATAACTCTTTAAAAAAAAAAATTCCTTGAGGCTGACCACGTGGCAAAGTTCTGAGGCGTGGGTCCTCTTCCAGAAACCTCCTTGGGTACCAGGGTTCCTGTGTGCCCATGATCCAGGGCTGACAGAGGCTCAAGGTGGATCACAGCATCAAAACCCTACTGGGACCAGCTGTTAATGTAATGGCTATGTCGCGGGGACTCCCATGTAGTTGACCACGGTTCAAGTCCCAGACCCAGCGGCTTACACTTACGCCGGACGCGTGTGCGTGCATGCCCAAGATCCCAAGAGGAGAATGGAGGAGAAGGGATTGCGGTGTGGCCATCTCCCCTGGGGGGTGATTCTCGCTTTCTGTCTCTCTGTCTCTCTCTAGCGAGCGCACGCGCCCTATAGTGAAAACCTCTCCAAAAAAAGACCCTACCGGGGCTGGCAAATGGCATGGTGGTTGGGGGCGCTGGACTCCCACATGGCTGACCATGGTTCAAGTCTCGGACCTGGTGGCTTGCTTTCTCACTTCCTCTCTCTCTGTCTCTCTCTCATCAAACTGGAAAATAACAATGATAATAATAATAAATAAAGTTAAATAAAATCATTCTTAAAAAAATTAAAAAAGACCCTACCAAGGGTGCACTCTCTTTCTTTCTCACTCATGGAAGAAAGAAAGAAATAAACTGAGAAAGAGAGAGAGAAAACAAAACAGGAGCCACATCCAGTTGAGAGCTGTGGTGTGCTGTGGGGCAGGGTGGGCCCAGCACAAGGGTACCTGGCCCACCCACGCATGAGTGGGGGCTGGAGTCTGGCCCAGTGCTGCTCCATCCACCTGGAGGAAGGAGCATGATAGATTTATTTATTTACTATCATCATTTTTCAATTTGGCCAGAAAGAGAGAGAGAAAGTGAGAAAGCAAAGTTGCCAGGTCCGGGACTTGAACGGTGGTGGGCCACGTGGGAGTCTAGCTCCTTTAACCACCACCACACCACCTGCCAGCCCCAGGGGCGCCCCTTTCTAAATCTCGCCAGTGGGCTGCGTCAGTCAGGCAGCAGGCGATGGAGGAGAGGTGTTTAATAAAGGAGCTACTTTCTGACCAAGAGTGGGCAACGGGCATAGAGAGCAACGGGGGTGGTGTCCTCTGTGCTCACAGGTGTCATGGCCGGAGGGAGGCGGTGCTTTAGACCTGGAGGAGTGAGACAGGGACGATGATGAGCGGGGTTAGGCCGGGGCACAGCACCTGGACCCACATGGGTACGCCCCAGAGACCTCCCAGCACACACCGGGCCCAGGAGCGGCCTGTGATCTGGGCCAGCTGAGAGGGAGGCCGGGGTGGGTGCGATGCAGCTTGTGGCCAAGGAAGGCCCCAGCTACCAGAAGCTGGAAAAGGCAAGGCCGATCCTCCAGAGCCTGTGGAAGGAGTGAGGCCCTGCCCGCCCCTCATTTCAGATTTCACACCTCCAGACTGTGAGACAATGAATTTCCTTGTTTTGAGTCACTGGTTTGTGGTACTTTGTTACAGGAGCCCCAGGAAATAACACAGGGTATCCAGGGGAGGTGTCCAGGACTCCTGCTGAGGAGGGCTTTGCATCTGAATCTGGCCGGAGTTCCACAGGAGGCTGGAGCAGAGTCCTAGGCAGGGGCTCCTGGGGCTCTGCAGGTGGGGGAGGCTGAGGCTGGATGCAGGAGCTGGTCATCCTCCAGTAAGCATCCCATCTCTCTCTCTCTTTTTTTTTTTTTAAAGAATTATTTTACTGGGAACCAGCAGTTAGCATAATGGCTATGTTGCTGGATTCCCACATAGTCGACTGTGGTGTGGT